AAGCTGTGATAGTGAAACTGAAAGTGTAGTGGAGACCCCAGGAAGTTACAGAAGACAAGAATGTGGAATTCCAGAGGGAGGCCAAAGACAGTGAGCAAAGCCACCCCAAGAGAGAGGCTATAAGGACCGCAACTGACAATACTGGAGTCACCTAAGCCCTTTGCAGTCACATCTCATCTGTTGCCACAGCTCACCCTGGATGCTGGACACAGAACTAAGGATTTAATGTTTGCCCTGCTGGATTTTGATCTTGTTTTGGTCTAATTCCTTTCTATCCCTCTCTTATTTCCTTTTGGAATAGGAATGATCACCCTGTAACATTGTACATCAGCAGTATTTAACTTTCTTCTAGAGCCTTACAGGGGCTCACACCTAAGAATTTGCCTTGAGTCTCAAGAGAGACTTTGGATTTGGATTTTTCAGACATTTTTGGACTGTCAAGACTTTGGAGATGGGTGTGGTGGCACACCCCTATAACCCCAGCACTCGGGAGGCTGAGGCAGGAGGATCATTGTGAGTTTGAGACCAGCCTGGGCTACAAAGTGAGCTCAAGGCCAGCCTAAACTGCATACTGAGACCCTATCGCAAAAAAGACAGAGAAAAAAAGACTTTGGAGCCAAGTATGGTGGCACGCGCTTGTAGTTCCAGCACTTGGGAGGCTGAGGCAGGAGGATCAGTGTGAGATCAAGGCCAGCCTGAGCTACAAATTGAGTTCAGTCTACTCCAAAATGCATTGCAAGACCCTGCCTCAAAAAGAAAAAAAAAAAAGACTTTGATAACTCTTAGAGGCAAACTAAATGAATTTTGCATAAAGAGATGCACATGAGTGTTTGAGTCCAGGGGCAGAATGTTATGTTTAAGTTGAGAACGTATTCTAAATGACTTGAGGATTTTGACAGGAAGGAGGGATGTGAGGTCTGGAGTTTGCCATTTAGCTTTGTGGCCTTGGGCAAGTGACTCAGTCTCTCTGTGCTGAAGTTTCTTCATGAGGTAAAATGGGGATAGTAACTGCATCCACCTCCCCAATGATTTTGTAGTGATTGTACGGAAGGTGCCTAAAACTGTGCCCGGCACACAGTTGGCTCTTTCTGTTTGCTGTGATTAGTCATTAGTCCTCTCCTGTCCTGACCTGTTCCTGGGCCCTAGGTTTTTAGTCCTGCCTCTCCCTCATGGGGCTGGGGAGTCTGGCGGTCAGAGCACCTGGCTCAGGAGAGGCCCTGTGGCAGCTACCTCATGAATTGAATCTACTCTAAGAGGACTTACTGGCCACCGTGCCCTTCAGTAATAGACATGGACTCGGGCCTGTGCTCCTTGAGCGGAGGGCGAGGAGTGCTAGACTGTGGCTGCCAGCCCGCCCAAGATCCCTGTCCCCACCCAGATCCCGTCCTGCACTCCAGCGTCCCACCAGTGATGAGGGGCTGACCAGGGAGGGAGGGGCCCGTACCTGAGAAACTGGGGCTGGAGGCACCACGTCTGGGCCTGGGGAAGCGAAGAGCCCGGCAGGGGAAGCAGCTGGGCAGGATCTGTCCCTGCAGTAATGACGACCTCTTGCCCCTGAGCGTCAGGTCCAGTTGACCTTCTGTGGGTCCACAGCCCTGTGCGAGTGGCCATGGTCCGTGCCCACGCTCTCCCGGGGTCATCCTGGCTCTCACACAACCAGGGAGACAGGACTCACTTGCTGATTGGCACAAGAACCCAAGTGTGGGAGAAGAAGGGGCAGAGGGGTCGGACAGAGTGGGGTTCAGATCTCTGCTGCTCCTCTCCAAGCTATGTGGCCTTGGGCAAGGCACTTAGCTTCTCTGAGCCTCTGTCTTCCTGTTTACGAAGTGGGGCACCCAGAGCCTGCCTTCCTGGGCTAACAGTGGGTGCAGGGAGCCCCTGTGTACTGAGGGTGGCGTGGTGGTTTGCCCAGAGCCTCAGGAACCTGGGAGAGCTTTATCCAAGTCTCAGCACAGATTCCATTTCTCTGGCACTTCCCAAAGTACTCAAGCCTCAGCTGGTCCCACTGGGGGCCGGGACTAGGCAGAGCACCCCCAGCCTCACCTCGGGGTCCAGCCCCTCCCCCCGCCCCCCTCATCTCTTCCTTCCTCTCCACCCAACCGCTATCCCTGAGCAGAGCCTAGCCAGAAGACTCTGGAACACACAGGATACGGGCCACCACCAGTGAGAGGGGTCCCGAGCCTGGCACCCCACACCTGCAGGGCCGCCTTCTGGGGAGAGGGTCCCAGGACCTCATTTCCCAGCCCCAGCCTGAAGCTGCTGCTGGCCCCTGCATTACCACATGAATGGGCACAAGCCTATCCACTCAAGCCAACCATTTGGCCAGCAAATTGACATAATTACTGCGAGAGCAGGGAGAGAAGAAAGTGCCCCCAACCCCACAGCCCCCCAGCAGGCCACTCCTGCAGAGTCCCTCCCAGGCTTTGTGGACCTGCGCTCCGGGCTGATTAAAACCTTGGGCCCTTTCAAGAGCCCTAAGTGATTGGTCCCCTTAATCTGATTACAATGTGCAGAGCCCCTCCAGCCACCTCTGAAGGACAGCCTCAAGCACCCTGCTTGCTGGAGTACACACACACACACACACACACACACACACACATGCGCAGCACATAGCGCCTACTTGGGGCTGCCCCCTGGGAGCGGGGAGAGGATGCCTGTCACCTCTCCCTTAGTCAGGGATCTTATCCAGTCATTTGGTTATCCGGTAGCCTTTCTAACCCCCACCCCCAGACCCTAACCTCAGGCACGCACAGGGGCTACCCCTGCCCGGACTGTGGGAATCTTCTGCAGACCCAGCACCCAAGCCAGGGGCATCTGTCCCCAGACACACTTTTGTGGGCACAACTACCATCTTTTCAGGTGGCTGCCCAGGTGCCCAGAACCAGGCTGCCTGACCCCATCCAGGGAGGCCCTCTCTGCACAGCAGCTGTACTTCTGGGGCTCCCAGGGGATTAGGCCCAGCAGGCAGCCTGGACGCAGGCTCCTCCACCCCCTTGGGAACTGGCTCAGCCCTCCACATCCAATTTGGACCTCTTAATCCCCGCTGCCCAGCCACAATGGCTCCTTCCCCCACCCTCACTCCTGGCTCTCGGCACCCCAGCCTGGCCCTCACCCCAAATGGAGCTCCCTCCCTCTGGGCAGCAGCTGGGGGGAGGGAGCAGCTGGAGACAAGCAGGAGGGGACAGAGAGGGGGCTGAGTTCAGCATCCCTCCCCTGAGCATGTGTAAGGGAGTGTGGGACTCGTGTGGGGCCCTCCAGAGTGGCCTCAAGCCTGCTGTGGCCCACACCTGTGGTGTACCCCAGCCTGGGGGTCATGGGAAGGAAAATCGCACCCTCATCCCAGGCCCCCCCTAGAGACCTCCCTCTCCAGCTTGAGGCTGGGGCCAGGGGCCAGAGAGCAGGGAGCAGAGCCAGGTCCAGTGGCCGGGCCCAGTTCTCACCCTTGTGCCACTTTCGACAGCAGCAGTGACCTTGGGGAGGGGGTAGCATCTCTGTGCCTCAGTTTCCCCACCTATAAGGCCAAGATGCCTCTTTCTGTCTCTCAGAGTGACTGAAAGTTTCTTTTTTTCTTTCTTTTTGGTTTTTTGGGGTTTTTTTCTGGTACCAGGAATCGAACTCACAACCTTGCACTTGCCAGGCAGGTGCTGTGCCGCTGAGCTAAATCCCCAGCCCTGAAAGTTTCAATGATGGGTCATGCAAGGCCCCAACACAGCCAGGGCTCAGGGCCCAGCCCTCACCAGTCCTGCGTCAGGGACAGGAGGAGACTGGTGTGCAGTCAGAGTCACAGATGGGTCAGGCTCTGGGACCCCCGCCCACAACACAGCTCTGGTGGGGAGAGACCCACCCAGTGTGTGGGTTTCCAGTGAGGGGTCCAGGACAAGGCCCCATCACCAGCAGTGAGGCCTCCTGCCTGCTCTGATTGGCCCTAGTGGGACACAGGCCTCTTCCCAGGGCCCTGAACCTAAGTGCCCTCCAGAGCACCCCCTGCTGCACCAGGAGGGCCACCCCCCAGTACCCTCAGAGCCTGTCATTGGCAGGGTCCCCACTCCCTCCCTGGTCCCAGGAGGTGCCAGAGGCAGTGCCTGCATCAGCTGGCATCAAAGCCCTGCGCCCTCCTCGCCATGCTGCCCCCCGCTGCGCGGCGCACACCTCCTCCTTTGTCACAATGTTTTCCCTCCCGCGAAGCAAACTGTCCAATTAGAGTTGGGGCCTCGGGCTTCCATCTTCCCGACGTTTAATTATCATGCTCCCCTTAGCAGCTGCTGACAAGTCCCAGAAACAGGGTGGAAAGGGGTTTTGTCTTTCCCCCGCACGGAAAACGAGGGGTGGGACCGCGCGGGACATCAATAGGGTGCATTCCAGCCCCTCCTCCTGCCTGCCCTCCACCGGCTCTGGGGAGGAATGAGCCTCAAAGGCGTGTGTGTGAACTGCAAGGGGGCGGGGAGGGCGGAGATGCGGCGGAGGAGAGGCCTCCCCTCCCTCTCCCTCGTCCCTGCTTCCCAGGAGCCTTTGCTCCAGAGATCTGGATTCTGCTGCTTTTTCTCCAGCCACAAGTGTCAGGGTTCAGGGTGGACACTATGTATGGGGTCCGTCCCCCTCTAGATGTGAGCCCCCTGAGGGCAGGAACTGGGCGTTCCTCTGCCCAGGCTTCTGGTGGGCCCAGGGAGTTCCAGACTCCCAAAAGCAGGCCCTGCTCTGCAGCCACAGCAGGGCCGGCATGGTGGAGGGAAAGCGGCAAAAGGGGCCCTCTCTCCCTCCAGTCCCCCCTCAGGAGCGCCCGGAGCAGGCTGGTGGAGGACACCTGGATCGAGGGCTTTTTTGGAATAGCTGCTGTGCTAAAGGGGGACCTGGAGGGAGCTGAGCCCTGCCAGACGCCTTCAGTGTGGGACAGGTCCCTGTGCGGTAACCCTAGAGTGAGGGCCAGAGCTGCAGCAGGAGGCCGGGTATCTTGGGGCCGTTTTCCCCTCAAGTGGGCCCTGTGGAGACATCCACAAGCATGCTACAAAGAACAACAATGTTTATTTAAGGAAGCCACCTACTTGGCAGCACAGAGAAATCTGTGGGCCCAGGAGCTTGGAGGGGCTGGTTGGGGTGGGCGGGGCCGGCAGGGCCCAGCAGGTGGTGGCTGGCAGCTGAGTTGCCTCCCGGAAGGGTCAGGCCCAGGTCTCCCAGCCTGCAGGCACAGATGTGGCCACCAAGACCCTAGCGGGGGGCAGAGCTTCTGCAGCAAGACCCGCACTTTGTCGTGACTCCCCCTCCTCCGTCTTCAGGTTCTCAGGCCACCCCTTGGGGTGAAGGAGGGATGAGGAGGTGCGGGCACCTGGGGCTGGGCCAGCAGGCTGGTGCTGCTGGTTTGCTTCTGAGTCCTCAGATCCTGCTAGAGCCATGACAGTGTGCGGGGCCTGCAGGGAGAGAGCTGAGCACAGGGGTCACGGCCAGGTCCTGCGTGGCCCCTTGGGCACCTTCTTGTTTTGTGGACAGGGCAAATACTAGAAGCAGTGGGTTGCAGCCTCCCTTTTCTCACTCCAGCTTTGGGGTCTTTGTTTGTTGCTTTTGTTGCTAAGGCAGGATCTGGCTATGCTGCTTAGGCTGGCTTCAAACTCCTGGGCTCAAGTGATCCTCCTGCCTCAGCCTCCCCAGTGGTGGAACTACAGATACGTGCTATGGTACCTGGCTGTAAGCTTTTCTTGTTCCTAGAGCCCCAACATCCTCTCCTGCCATGTCACTTAGTGTGGGCCCCAACTCAGCTGTCTCCAAGCTCAGCCCTCCAAGGAGCAAAGACTGTCACAAATTCAAAGGCACCCAGGGCTCCTTAGGCACAATCTCCCCAGCCAGCCTGCCCCCTCCATCCCACACAGGGGGTGAAATATATATCTTCCTTTCATTATTTTTTGTGCCAGGACTTGAACTCAAGACCTTGCACTTGCCAGACAGGTGCTTGCTCCCTTGAGCTATATCCCCAGCATATTTTCTTTTCTTCCTGCTTGCTTTCTGCCCCTTTGCATCTGATTCTGAAGATGGAGGCCCCACTGGGAAAACTGGCTATTATCCTGAGGGAGAAGCCAGACCCAGAATGACCTCACCTGCCTGGGAGCTTAGGATACCAAGACAGGTGAGAAGGCAGGTGTTCCTGAGGATACCATCAAGGCTGGGGGCTTGTGGGTGGGGTCCTCGGGGACATGGCCAGCGCTGTTCTCCTCAGGCACCTGTGGAAAGAGAGGGCAATTCTGAAGGCCCAATCCTGGACTGTATTCCCGGGCCCCCAGTGTCCCTGGTGGAGCCAGAACATCTGGCCAGGCCGAAGCTGCAAATGATGGGCAGCGAGCGCCACCTTGTGATCTGTATGTAGATTACAGCCACAGGCAGTGCTACTTTGTCTCCTACTGTTACTTCTCCACGGAGTGTCCCAGGCGCCTGGCACAGCAAGAACCAGTGTCGTTGCCCAAGGACGGGGGCAAGACTTCCCAGTGAAGCAAAGGGTTGTGATTGCACACGTCTCGTGAGCAAGCCCGGAGGGTTCTGGGAGATTGTGCTGAACCCGTTTTGGAAAGATAAGGAGTAAGGCAAGAGGCAATTGCCAGGAGCCAGGTCCTAAAGTAGGGTGAGGGCGGGGCCTGGGAGGGGGTGCAGAGGCGTCTAGAAGTGGACTGGGAGGTGGGGTGGGGCGCGGGAGATCCGCCCTGCCTTGGCCTTCTCACAAACCACCTCTTTCTGGTCCCGGCCAGCCCCTGTGTCACCCCTTCCTCTGGGAAGCCACCTCCCCTTTGAGGCAGGACAGCGCAGGGACTGTCCGAGGGCTTTCACTTCCACTGATGCGGAATTTCCTTACTCCCCGAGGCAGATGCTGCTAGAGGTTTGTAGCTGAGAGAAGGTGTGAACTCAGGATAAGTGACTGAGATCAAAACAGAGCCAAGAGGAAACGTATGCGCGCAGACACTGGTACCATCTCTGGTTTACTTCATGAGCATCAAACCCAGGTCTTTCCTAATTGCGGGTGTCTCAAACAGTTTACTGTCTGACTTTAAAAATAGGGTGAAGATAATTTGTGTGAGAAAAAGGCAAATTTATTAAGAATGTAATAACATAGAATAATTCTTACACTAGAGAGGTAAAGAAAGAGCAGGATTCGGGGGCTGGGGATTTAGCTCAGCAGCACAGCGCCTGCCTGGCAAGCACAAGGTCGTGAGTTCGATTCCCGGTACCAGGAAAAAAAAAAAAAAAAAGAAACAGCAGGATTCTAAATTGGGCAGATAATACAGTCTCAACTGTGTAAGAAAAATCTGTGCAGAGAAAAAACAACAACAGGAAATGTACAGAAAAAAAAACATGAACAGTGCTTAGATTATGGTGGCGGATTTTTTTCAGGGGTTGGGATTGAACCTAGGACCTCACACTTGTACTCTACCACTAAGCCCCCAGGGCCTAGTGATGGGATTTCTTGATATTTTTCTCTATCTCCAGATTTTCTTTAATAAGCTTCTTGTCATTTTTAATTTAAAAAACCCACAAATTTAGAGGGTATAGCTTAGGAGTAGGGTGCTTGCCTAGCATTCCTGAGGCCTATTCAAGCACTGCAGTAACAAAATAAAACAAAACCAATAGAGCAACGACAAAAAACCCAAAACAAAAACCCAAGAAACAAATGTGATGTTAACTTAAGACTTAGCATTTACATAAAGTTACATGAATTAGAAAACCTGTATCTAAGTTAGATATGGATTATAATGAATATTAGTTTGAAGGACCCTAAAAACTTCTGATATGGTTTTAAAAATACAGAAGCAAGGCTAGTGGTGGTGCATGTATATAATCCCAGCACTTGGGAGGCTGGGGCAGGAAGACTGCCATGAGTTCAAGGCCAGCCTGGGCCACATAGTGAGTTTAAAAGCAACCTGGGTTGCACAGGGAGACCCTGCCTCAAAAAACTAAAAAACAAAACAAAAACAGAGGCAAATGCAGTGATGTTCCTCCCGGGGAACCACAGGCACAGGCTGGTCCTTGTCCCCATCCTGAGGGGCCAGGGAGGAGGCAGAAGGCTCTACCATGCCCCGCCCCACCCCCAGTCCAGCCCAGGCAGGCGCCTGCAGGAGTGGTTCCTGGGAAAAGATGCCTGCTTGGGGCTACAGACAGCTCCAAGGGTGGTGTGCTTTTAAAGAAACAAACAAACAACAACAAGCCAAGTATGGTGGCATACACCTGTGACCCCAGCATATGGGAGGCTGAGGCAGGAGGATCACCAAGTTCAAGCCCAGCCTGGGCAACTTGGTGATTTAGGAAAACCCAGTCTCAAAAGAAAAATTTTCAAAAAAGAAGCACACGCAACTCCCTCCAACCCTGATGTGGGAAGCGAGAGAGAAGGGAATCCTCAACCTGCAGGGCACACTGCCCCCTAGAGGAACAGAACCACAGGCGGGTTCAGGCGGTGTGTGTGGGGGTGCCACTATCCCTGGAGGGGTCTGTGGAACTCACCTCCCAGTAGACCTCATCATCAAAGCAGTTCTCGTCCGCCGCTTGTCCCCAGAACGGTAGTCTCAAGATGAGTCCTGAAGAGAGTTCGAAGGCCCCGGAGGTCAGAGATGCTTTCTCGCCATGCACTCCTGCCCTTCCCCTCAGCTGGGACCCAGCAGGCTCCCTCCGTACAGCTCAGGGTGCCCCTCACTTACCCACCATGATGCCGCCCACCAGGGCCATGGCCAAGCTCAAGAGGAGGCCGAACATCTGGAACTTGCCCTGACTTCTTATGGTCTGGACTTCATTCACAAATCTGGGGCGGAGACAGGACAGGGCCCCACGCAGAGGACAGGTCACCCCTAGTTTCCACCTCGCACATGCTCATGGGCACTTCAGCTTGGGGAACCCCAGGGCCCAGCCTTCCTGGCTACGGAACAGGGGCGTGGGCAGGTGGGCGGTGCCCATGACTCCGGAGGGAATGAGGTTGGGAGGGAGAGGCAGGACAGAGCACCGGTGTGGGGCCCCAGCAGGCCGGCAGGAAGGAGCCAAGAGGAGGAGGAGGCCCCACCTCCCTGCACCGCAGCGTGTTTACCCGTGCTGTCCATATATGTCGGGCCTGGCGAAGGCGGCTGTCACAGCACCCACGATGCCGCCCAGGACGCCAGGGATGCCGTGCAGGTTGTGAATGCCGCACGTGTCCTGGATGCGCAGCCGGGACTCCAGGAATGGCTGAGGGGGAGGGGCTGCTCAGGCTGGGGCTGCGGCGGGGACCCCGGACCCCCCACCCGTCAGCGTCTCCCTGGGTCCCCACGCTCCTCCCAGTCCAGCTTCAGCCCAGCCCATTGCCCGGGCCCCTCACCGACAGGAACATGAAGCCCAGGGTGGAGATGGAGCCGCAGAAGAAGCCCACGATGAGGGCACCATAGGGCGTGAGCATCATTTCGGCTGCAGTGCCCACACCCACCCCTCCGGCTAGCGTGGCGTTCTGGATATGCACCTGGGCATGGGCAGAGCGGGCACACTTGGTCCTTTCCCGAAAGCAACACCCTGTGCCCACACGCGGTGTGAGGGTGGCCCAGCCCTGCCTGGGACTCAAGGGTGGCTCAGGGTCTGTGCTCGGAGCTTGGGGGATGCTGTCAGTGCACCTGTATGCCCCCTTCCCACGTGCCATTGGTACCCGTGTGCCCCGACTGGCGCATCTGGACACACACAGGTTCACAGCAGGCACCAGCGGAGCCGGAGCTCCTGCCCCACATTCTGCTCTGCGTGTGGCTATGGCTGCACAGCCTGTTCCCTCTGGTGCCCCAGTGCCACCTGTGTCCAGTGGCAGAAATAGCCGTCCCAACAGTGTGATGCCAGGACACTATGCAACATGATGTTCCCAATATCACCAGTGGAGACAGCAAACCACAGTGCCAGGTGACCTGCCTGAGGGCTAGTGTCTGGAGGGTCAGGGGCATAGCAGAGGGGCCATGGCCCCAGCAACCCTGTGGGGTGGTAGGGAAGAGGAGGAGGAGAAAGAGGAACAGGAGGAAAGCACAGAAAAGCCAGTCAAGCCCTGTTGGATCTGGTCTGGGTTCTGCCAGAATCCAGCTATGTGTTCTGCACAAGTCATTGCTCCCTAGGGTCTCAGTTTCCTCATCAGCAAGATGGGTATACAACCCAGATGCTGCTGCTTCACAGAGGCTCTGGCAGGCTGGGTAATCAGGGCCCACCTGGCACAGGTAGCAGAGGGGCACCTCCCCCTGGGCCCAGCTCACCATGTCCAGCTTGCCCTTCTTGTGCAGGGCACTGGACAGTGCCACCGAAGTCAGCACGCTGGCTGCCAAGGAGCAGTAGGTGTTAAGGGCAGCTCGATGCTGGGCATCCCCGTGGGAGGATATAGCTGAATTGAAGCTGGGCCAGTACATCCACAGGAAGAGGGTGCCTGTCAGATATACAGGTCAGCGGTCAGACAGGAAGCATTAGACGGCCTCTCCTGGGGTCCTCCTGAAAGCTACCTCTGCCTTCACAGCTCTAGGAAGCCTGCCTGACCCCGTAACAGTAAACACCCATACTGTGCCCCTTCAGCACCACGCTGAGCACCCCTTCCCACTGCCGGGAGAGATGAGGGCGTAGCCTCCTCCCACGCTGTGCTGGGGGAGACAGCGGTGAGGGTGTAGGCAGCAGTGTCTGCAGGGGACGGACCCGGGAAGTGGGAGTACACACGGGCCTCAGCCAGGGTGCAGGCCCAGGCCTGGTTACCACCGTGTCTGCCTTGGGGAATTCTGGGGCAAACACAGGAGGAGACCAGCTTCCTTCATCCCCAAGGGAAAGAGGCAGACAGCTGGGATTCTAGAAGTGTCTCCAGCAAACTGCCTCTGCCCGGCCCGTCAAGGAACTGGCAGCTGCTCACTAACTGTGTAGGGATCACACATGGAGATCATGGTGACCCTCACCCGTCAAGGCAGTCCCCATTCACCATGGTAGCGCAGCCATCCTGGTGATCCTTACCCATTATGGTGGCCTCCGCCCACATGGCAGCCCCAAGCATCACAGTGGCTTTCAGTCATCACAGTGGTCCCTCCCATCATGGCACCCTCAGTCGCCATGGGGACGCTCACCAATCATGGCGAAGAGGTCCGAGTGGTACACAGAAGTCTGCCTCTGTTTGCTCTGCTCTAGGTTGCGTCGGTAGAGGATCCAGGTGACTGTGAGTCCAAAGTAGGCCCCAAACGTGTGGATGGTCATGGAGCCCCCTGCATCCTTCACCTGCAGGGCAGGGAGGCTGTCACAGTCTGGCACCTTCTCTTCTTTCCTGCTCTCCCACACAGCACACAGACTTCAGGCTGCAGGGTGGAGCTCAGCCAACAGGGAGGGGCAAGGTGGGGGTCCCTGAAGCCAAGCTGTGAGCTGTTGGCCAAAGGAGGCCAGGGCCACTCACTCAGCAACTGGGATGCTCTCAAACGGGGAGGCCAGGCTTGGAGGGGGCCAGCTCAGTCACCCGGTAGCAGAGTCAGCACCGAGGGCAGCCCCATCTCATGTCACCCACTCACTTGCTTAATTCCTGAGACCCCTCCCGTTCCTCTCACACAACTACCCCAAGGCCACCCTGCCCAGACTGCCACTGTCCACCCAGCCCCATCTCACTCCTACTCCCCAGACTCCCAGGTAACCTCCTGGGCCCCCTCCCCACCCCCATCTCCCCCCTAGGTCTTATCCTAAGTGAATGAAAAGCTGCTGCTGGGTTTTAATCTGGGGAATGGTCCACTCTGGCTGCTAGTGGAGACTGGCCTGACGGGCGTGGGGACAGAGCCAGGGCATGAGTCAGGGTGAACAGATACGGTGGCTGGGACTCGCCTGGTGGCTGAAAAGGTGGCAAAGTGCGTGACTGAATGTAGGGTGGTCTAACTCCCTCTATCAGGGGCACTGTTCCAGGCAAAGCCCCACTAAAGCAGAGGAGAGGGGGTCCCTCCGTGGCACCTTACCCCGTCTCCCCTCTAAGGCACCTCTTATCTAGGCCACAGACTTGGCCAGCCCCAGAGGGCAGCGTTTCTGCCACAGTGCTCGTGAATGGCACCCCTGGGGTCCTGTACTGCACGGCCTCTCTGGGGTCCTTCCCGACAGATTTGCCCCCTTGGTACACTGGGTCCTTTGCTTGGCGGAGCAATCTTGGGATACGGTGTGGGGATGTGCAGGAACGCCACCCTCCTTCCGTGGGACGTGCGGGAAAGAGAAAGAACTAGAGTTCTGGGATTGGCTGCTGTGCACCGGCCTGGGGCTCATGTGCTATGGCAGCTGCCTAGAAGATGTCCGGACTCCTGCCGGAGAGGTGAGGGAGCTGAGGCTCGGGAGGGTAAGGGATGTGCCAGGCTGACGTGCCCCCAGCCCGTGTCCCCTCTGCTGCTGCCCACATCCCGAGCCCGGCTCACCTCTAGCAGGTCAAGGAGAATATACTCATTCACTGTGAACAGGGTCACTTGGAACAAGGTCATGATGAGCAGCTGGACGGGGCTGACTTTGCCCAGCAATGCCCCAAAGGCCACGCAGACAGAGGCCACGCAGAAGTCAGCGTTGATGAGGCTGTGGAGGGAGAGACAGGCCGGGAAAGGGGCTGGGGCAACAGCAGCACGTGACAAGCCAGCCCAGCGCTTGAGTCTGACTTTGGCTGGCTGTGGGTTTGGACTGTGGCTTAACCTCTTGGAGCCTCAGTTTCCCCTTCTGGGATAATGGACCCACAGCAATAAGGGCCACATGGGTGAAGTGCCAGGCACGTAAAGCCACCTCACCTCTCATAGCTTGTGCTCAGGCCACAGAGACTGGCTGCTGTAGCGTGTGCCTGTCACCGGGCCCTGTCCTTCTACCAGCTCTGCTCAGTGCCTCATCTTCCAGGAAATCTTGCCCCTGCTCCTCCAGCCAGGTGCTCCAGACTCCCAGCACTGGGCCCACAATACCTTCCCCAGCTCCCAGAGCCCTGCCAGAGCTAAGCCATGGGAACTGTCCCTTGTCCTTACCGGTGACAGAGGATCAGTCCCTAGGGAAGGGGAGAGAGACACTTTCCTGCAGGGAGAGAGACACTTTCCTGCAGGAAGCAGGGACCTGGGGTGGCACAGGTGGAAAGTGGGAATAGGCACACAGGCCTTCCTCAGTCTAGACCCTGAAAGCCCAGCCAGCCCAGCAGAGAGCTGGTGGAGCCTGTGTCCCCAGAGCCTGGCCGAAGGATCACGCACATGGGGCGCGTTAGTCCAGCACATGGATGGAAAATGGAGGTTAGAGAGGCAACTCATTGGCTTCAGGTTCCATAAATGAAGCCGGGAGAGCCATCTGATGGACATGACCATTAGGAAGGAACAAGAGATGAGACAAAGCCATGCCTGATGCCCTCTGCAGCTGCGAGGCAGAAAGGGGGACCCATACCGCAGGGGGCCGTAGAGAAACACTGGGACCTGGACCATGCAGCCGGGACAGGCCAGCAGCTGGGAAGGAGGCCCGTATCTCTAGGTCCACAGGTCAGGTGTGGGGATGGTTTGCTTGTGCCAGCCACAGGCACCAGAGACAGGCTCCGGGTCAGTGTGGAAAATCGTCCTCAAGAGACAATTGGCCAAAATTAAATTTTTCAAATGACCTGCTTGCCTGGCGTGGTGGCGCACACCCATAATCCCAGCACTTGAGAGGCTGAGGCAGGAGGATCATTGTGAGTTCGAGGCCAGCCTGGGCCATGAAGTGAGCTCAAGGCCAGCCTGAACTGCATAGTGAGACCCTGTCTCAAAAAAGACAAAACAAACAGTCAAATGACCTGCTTGCTGAATAACTGGTTCTCCAAAAACTTGTTAACAGAGAGTGTATAGTAATTCTCTTTGAAGGTTTTAAAAAAATTGTATCTTTTCCCCACATTCTCCCTAATATGTGCAATCTGTAAAAGATGGCATGAAAAGCAAAGGGAGATGATTATTAGCCGAGGGGAAGGGAATGGGGGGAGGGGAATGGGGGATGGATATAATCAAAACATACACATCAAAGCCCAATATTCTGTAAGATTAATAGATGCTAGTACAAATATATATAAATATAAATATATGTACCAGGGATTGAACTCAGGACCTTGTGCTTTCCGGGCAGGCACTTGTGTTACTGAGCTACATCCACGACCCACAAATATATTTTTAAAAATTGTACACTTTCTTCTTGTGGCCACAGTTATGTTGCTGTGCCGGTCAGTTAAATATATTAGAGGCCTTTTCACACCTTGGGTTGATGGCATGAGGCATGAGAATTCCTGGTGTAGCTTGAATTTCAGAGTGATATGCATGCCAATGATCTTTTAAATATAAAAGGGCTGACCTGTTGGTTCTGAAACCTGTTCTAGATTACCAGCAACTATATCTTTCCTGTTTCTCTCTTTCTCGCTTGCTTTTTTTTTTTTTTTTTTTTTTTTTGGTCTTTTTGGACAGTGTCTCGCTGTGTAGTTCAGGCTGACCTTCATCTCACTTTGTAGCTCAGAATGATGATGACCTTGGCCAGGGTTGGGGT